CAACCCTGAGCCGGTGGGATTTGAACCGCTGACCTGCTGATCTAGCAGTAGCCTGCAGTGCTGCATTTAACCACTGCGCCACCTTGGCTCTTCCACTTTGGACAGATTCTGCATGGATTCTTTCTGCCCTGAGCAACAGGGGGGGAGGCAAGATTTCCCTCCAAAGAGATGGGATTCCATGCAGAACCTGCAGGAACTAAAACTAGAGTCACTTCTGAATGCTGGTGTTTTCTGGATGTTCACATACTTCTAGCACAAGGGGTCGAAATGGGGGGGGCCTCTCTGAGCCGGGTGGCTTTCTTGCAGCCGTTTCATGGGCCAAACTAGGTGACGTCATCAGCGCTAGTAAGGAGCGGGGATAATAGATAAACATCAACTGAGAGCAAGGCCCACTTCCCACCAGAACTGCTGATGTTACCTAGTTGGGCCATGAAGCTGAGAGTAAAGGGAGTCGGGGAGTCCAGGCCGCCAACAGACAAGGAGTTTCAGGGGGCTGCTTTGATTTGGACCCATCCCACCCACAGCACCTCCGAATCCCCACCAAGCAGGCATTGGGACCACCCCCTTCCTTTAAAGAGACCAACGTTTCTGTCCCTTGGAATCCCAGAGTTTGAAGCCAGCACACAGGAGGGCAAGAATATAGTATAAGAGTAGGAAGGGAGCTTGGAGGTCATCTAGTCCAGCCCCCTAGTCAAGCTGGAGACCCTGTGCCGTTCCCCATGAATGGCTGTCCAATCTTTTCTTAAAAACCTTAAGAGTTGGAGAAACCTCCTTTTAAAGATTTGGCTGCGATTTGGGCTTTCAGAAGGCTGGGGGGAAGGGGGCCACCAGGAGCCAAAAACCTTCCCACCAGCAAAAGGGGCTCCAGGGGGTTTCTTGGCACAAGCCAGCTGGGAGGGGGTTTAGGCGGTTAGAAAGTCAGCAGCGCAGACCTAAAGCAGCAGCCGTCCCTTAAGAGCAGGGCGGGGGTCCCAATCCCCGGTCCCTGGACTTGCACCGATCCGGGAAGCCACAGTCCGGGCCGCGCAAGCAGGCGAAACCCCGTCCCCTCCGACCCACGGAAAAAACTCTCCACGGAACCGGTCCCTGGTGCCCAGGAGGTTCTCCACCCACCCCTCTCCCTTACGGGGCTGCCGGCAGCCTTGAGTGAGGCCGGGGGAGTGGGGGTCTCGGAAAGGGGGCCTGGGCCCCCAAGTGAGAACCGGGAGGCGTCTCCGGGTCCCGCCATCCTCCTCTGCCTCCAGGCGTCTTTCCTGCTGGGGTGGGCAGGTGGGTGGGGAAAGGTTCCTCCTGGGATGGAGGGGTGGGGGGGGCTGGGCTGCTTCTCTGGGGCGGGAGCAGCAGAGCCCCAACTTCTGGCAACCCCCCCTCCCACCCAGCTCCCACATCCCAGCTGCTCTGCGCCCCCTGCACAGCCCCGTCCTGCCCGGGAGGTTTTCTTCCCGCGTGAAGTCAAAGCGCCTCGCATTCCGCCGCCCAGCCCTGAAGTCCACCGGAGCGCGTTACGAATGGAATAGATTAACAGAGTTGGAAGGGGTCTTGGAGGTCATCTAGTCCAACCCCCGCCAGGCAGACCGGGCACGGTTTCTGACGGACGGCCGTCCAGTCTCTTCCGGAGAGCTTCCAGGACCTCGGGAGGGGGGAAGCGTTGTGGGGTTTGTGGTTGTGGTCCGGCCGTGCTAACCGCCCCCCCCCCTCTGTCTCTCTCTCCCGCAGTGCCTTTCCGCGAGACCCCCAGCTACACCAAGCGGCGGCGGCTGATGGGGGCGGCCGGGCTCTCCTCCCCGCGCCTGCTCCAGCGCTCGGCCAGCGACAACAACCTGAAGGCGGAGAGCCGGCCGTCCTACTCGCCGGCGCCCTCGCTCCGCGGCCTCCCCCCGCAGCTGCTGGCCCAGATGCGGGAAGCGGCGGGCGAGGCCGGGCCCCGCGGCGCCCACAGCCGCTCCCCGTCGCTGCAGCGCGTGCGGGAGGAGAAGGAGGCCGACGCGCCCTCCCTGCGCAGGAGCAGCCGCGCCAAGCCCAGGTGAGCCGCCGGACGCGACGGGTGGGGGGACGCGCTCTGCCCTCGGCGCCGCTGGGTCGCCTCCTCTGACCGGTTGTGAAGTCTGCGTCCCTTTGGGGTTTTTTAATCTGCCTTTATAAGTATAACTCCTGGCTGCGAAGAACATGCGTGCTTCTCCTTTCTCCTCTTTCCCCTCCACAACGACCCCGTGGAGTTGGTTGGCGTGAGAGAGGCGCTTTCATGGTTAAGGCTGGACCTCGGCCCAACGTCACCCAGCTGGCTTCCATGCCTGAGGCAGGACTAGAACTCACAGCCTTCCCGTCTCTAGGCCAGCCCCACTCCCACAGCACTGGTTTTAATGACTGGCTGCCTCCATGATTCTTTCTCCCTGGTCCTGCATGGGAAGGACTCAACCTCTGAGCCAGGAAGGCCCCCCTCTCTTTGGCCCCCAGGTGGGTTGCAAGGGAGGACTGTTCCCGTAACATCTGGAGTGGGTGGCCCCAAGCAGTGTCACCACCATGACTCCGAAGGGTGCCACCCTCTCCGGACGCTTGGACTGGAGCACAGGAGGCCCTTTCCTGGTGGGTCGGCCGGTGCCTGGGCTTCATCCTGCTTAGTTGCTTAAAGCGGGGGTTGTTTGCCGGGGGGGGGGGTCAGCCTCTTCTGCCTGTGCAGAGCTGCGGCTGCTTTGCCCTGCTGGGCAGAAGGAAGCTGGAAGGTCTGCCTGAACCTCGAGGAGCAAAGATGTCGTTTCGACCTATGAAACCTTCGCACCAGGTTCCTGGCTGTTTCCTTCTCCTTCACCATTTCTCCATTCACGGGTGGTTTGCTGACTGGCTGAAGGTAGCTGGAGGCAACAGCCAATCTTGGTTCGCGCTTCAGCCCCCAGCCACCCACCTGGGCACCTTCCCCAACCAGAGCTTTGGCCCTCTGGGAATCCCACCGACTCCCTCCTCCTGGAGTTCTGGGGTGCTGGAGGGAGCCGGCTGGACCCCCAGTTCCCTCCCGCAGGCAGGGCTGCTTGGGCGCCTAGCTGAGCTACTGTTGGTTTGAGGGTGGATTCTGGAAGACGGGGGAGGATTCCCAGGGGCTTTGGGGGGGAGGATGGTGGGATTCCACCCCACTCCTAGCAAGAGGACCCGGTTTTCTGGAAAGGAGCTCCAGATGGGAGGAGGGGATCAGCCGTGGCCCTTTGGGTCCTGTGGATGAGTGGCAAGTGGCGTGGTGTATTCCCATTGACGCAAGAGCCGAGGTGGCGCAGTGGTTAAATGCAGCACTGCAGGCTACTTCAGCTGACTGCAGTTCAGCAGTTCGGCGGTTCTAATCTCACCGGCTCAAG